GCAATAAAGGTTTCCATAAAATTTGGTCTGCACCTCATGAAGCAACGCTCACATAATTACAAATGGTAACCAAGATGAAGGTATCTACTCTTTAAAGTGTTGGGTCACAAAATATATACTGGGTGGCCTTGCTGATGCCTAGTCGATATTCTAGCCGATTCTTCTATAAAGGACGGGGGGAACAAAGATGTTCATAGAGTAGAAAAGCGAAAATTAATTTTTATTTTTGGAAAACGAAAACAATAAAGTATCAAAATATGTTAAAAACATTCTCTCTGAGGCCGTATAAAAACTAAAGGTTGACGCAAACGGCTAGGTCTTCTCATAAATCAGGAGCACATCATCCCTGAATCGACGTTTATAAAAAACAGTTGGGAAAATTTTCGTTGTGGTATGAGTTATGATGTTCGCTGTTGGAAAGGCTTCAAATCAAGATCTGTCCACAAAACTAAGATTAACCATCAAAAGCTGAAAGAGGTTCATTAATAATTATATAAACGTGAGCAAAAGCGACCAGAAAGTAAATTCAGGGTTACACAATTAATATTGGACTATTTTAAATTTTTAGTTCAAACGCTACCAATTCGTATGAGATGGGCATGCTTTTTTTACGGTAAAGTCTTATGTAAGAGAGGAGAAATTCTTCCCATATTTAAGTTTCTAAGTTTAATCAGCAAAATGTAATTTTTTTAAGCATTTCAATCCAAAAGCAAATTAATAAATGAACGAACAAAGAGTCAAAATATAAGAAAGAAAGAAGCAAGAGTATAAAAAATAAGGTCAGGAATAGTGACAGGTAAAAGATTAAATTATTGTAATTATAGGTAAAAAGAAAAATGACATATATGAGTGATATATAATAGAAATAACACATAAAGGGTGTCTATAAAGTCTGTGTGCAATTTAAAATACTTAAGTATTTTAAATTGCACACATACTTTATGGACATCCTGTATAATAATATATAATAGAAATGATATACATAGCTATTTTTTATGCGTTTCACCCCAAGCAAGGCGGGAGTACCAATAACATGCGAAGGGTTACGTAGAGTGAGAGAAATAGTAAAGAATGGTGTTTGAGGAAAGGATAAAGTAAAGGACAGGGATCAAGATCAAGGCATCAGAAAATATCGATTGGCATTACATTTGAATATTTGAAGATTATAGCTATCAGGCAAGCAAGTAAGAGGAAGGGTGTTACACTGTCGGGAAGTGTGTTGGAGTTGAAGAGCTGTTGGAGGAGAAGAGATGGCTGCATTTAACCGTTTCGATAAAAAAAAAAATTGTGGGACCGAGGTGCCAACTTAGTAGCACGCTTCAATTCATGCACCTGGGTTACCAGTGAAAATAGCTCGTCAGAACAGTTGCCATGATAATATTTGTAGAAAAGACAGAGGGAAATTCTTCATGCTTTATGGGAATCAATTTTCTTAAGTTATATATTTTCTCTTCAGTTGACAAAATTTATATATAATTCGTAGCGTTGAAAGTATGTACTGTTATTTCAGCTTCAGGCTTGGAGCATACATCTCTGATGGAATTCGCTACGCTCAGTGCAGTAAAAGGAAAATGTAGATGTTTCTGCCATTTCAGTTGTAAGAGTCCCCTTTTTAAGGTACCTCGCGTTTTTAATGATTCCCTTGTCACCATTATTAAATTCCGTATTCTTTAAGAGAACTATTTTAGTAGAAAGACATACATGCAACTGTATATATATCTTACAAGCTTTTATTTACATATGTAAAATTTAGGGAGCAGTCAGGGTTAACAACTCTACAAAACTCACCAGAGTCACGGCTTATAAAATAGCAGCAACATGCGAATTTCACTATGCAACAACCTAAACTAAGATTATACAGTATAATTAATAGATATAACCCTAAGTTATATTCTATTACTTTCTTTTTCCTCCTATTTATCGATTGCAGGACTACCTTCCGGTTTCTTGCTTCCGGTACAATCTTCAACAATTTATATGTCACATCAATCGCCATCTTCTGTCTTACTGAGATCAGTTATTTTATTGTCCTTTCTCCTCACTAACGTCTTCTTGTTTTCTTTCCCACAGAGTAACACCCTGCGTCTTTGTGGAATTATCGCCTTGTTTGTGGTGAAATGATTAAAACTAAATCTCTTTTCGGGAGGCCGGCTATCATGGCTCTCCACAACATCCTATCGTTTGTAGGTTTAAGTAACGTTTCTCCACTTACTATCCATCCCACTCTATCTTGCCATCCATTTACACAAGCTCGTTATGTAACTCAATATTTCCCGGCTACACTTATCTTTAGTATATCCTGTGAGTGTCATATTCTCCAAGCAATATCTCCTCATTATGTCTTCAAGAAATTTAAAATGTTTCTTTTCGATTCCAAATTCAAGTGTCTTTTTAGCTTCTATTTTCCTCTTTGTTTCCGTTCTCCGTCCATACCATTCTCAGCATCCTTCTGTAGAGCCACATTTCAGTTGATTAATGTTTCTTTTTATTTGTGATGAAATTTTTCAGCATTCGTTACAATATAACAGTACAATAATAAATGCAGTACACAACATTAGACATGGCACGTGGAACTAGATCAGTATACCCCAACGAGCGAAATAAATCAATTACGTGAAGAAGGTCGGAATTACAACGGTCGAAACGTTGTGATAAATATAGCGACAAAGATAAGGACAATAGTCCGAATAATGTAAATAGTGTCTTTACTTCATTCCTAAATATATTTTCTTGCATTTTACTAAATTCTCTAAGTTACACATGTCTAATCAATTAAGTAAATACTAAGCTACAAAATATGTTAGCTAATTTTGAAACAGTATAATGTGCTTGAGAAGATGATGTAGGAATTTCTGGAGATAATTACTACAACTAGAATTTGATTACGATCGATCGGGCCACTTCAAAAGCCGCTTCAGTTTTAATAATGTTGATTATTATTGACATATCTGAAGACAGTCTAGCCAGATAATCAAATGTTTAAGGTTGTTTCTTATAAGTAATTTTCGCGTGACAAATGTCAAAGATCAACTTCCGAAAAACAAAACAAAAAAAAAAAAAAAAATTAAAATAGGATAAAAAAATTATCGGATGATTCCCTAAATATTAATTAACATCACACACCTTTTATTTTGCTTGTATCGGTACATTAAAATTTGAAAATATTTCCCAGTGTTTCATTTAAAATAATTGTCAACAACAGAAAAAAAAAAAGTCTTAAGATTGGGAAATCGCTCACGATTGAAATCATATATTCACGGAAAAAGTATTTATATAAAAAGCACATTATAATTTTATTTTTTAAAAAAAAAAAAATAGGAACACTGGTTTTATTTAAATGTCGGCCCAGACACTGAAAAAAGTAACACTGCTCTGATTGGTCGAATATCGACCTAATAAATTTTGTCTTTCCTTCTTTGGTTGGTAAAAAAATGACAAAATGGTGAAAAGTAAATTGGTCGACATTTGTTTTTTTTTATTTATATTTTTCTTTCTTATATTATGTTCTTTCGGGAGGTGGGTGATTACTGCTCTCCACAACTTCTCTTGCTGTTCTAAGTATCTCTTCATTCTTCTTGTTCTATTGTTTATGCCTCAAACACGTCAAGTTGGCTACTCGTTGTTTCTCTTTGTTTCTCTTAACGATAATTACTCGAAGTCCCGATTATCCTCAAAGCTTCCTCTTTTCGCACATGCTTTGGCTATGTTATTCCCAGAATTCAACGATAGACGCATATCTCTGTTACTTCAAGACGCATATATCTATTGCTTCATCTGTAAAGAAATTTGTTCGGTTTTCACTGCCATTTCAAAAATTAGATATTTCTCCGTTTCTTTGTGAATGCTGGGGATACAATGGTATAGAGGTCCAGCTCGAGAACTCTAGATAATCAGAGCTCGGTAGCTGATCTCTTTTTGGACCTAGATCTGAACGTTCAGTGGTGGCGCCTGTGGTGATGTAGTGGTGGGGAAAATAGCAGGTCACATCCAATGACTCGAAATCCAAACTAGTGGGATGGTGCATAATTATCAGGCGTTTTTGTAGGTGAGTTATTAATAAAATTTGCTGTTTTATTTACTTTTTTTTAATGAAAATATAATTTTAGTTTCAGTTTACAAACATGTGTGTCGATAATCGTACTCATTTAAAAATGATATTGTTGAATTTTTATATTTCTTTTTTCATAATAAACACTATTTAAAAACGCCTGATAATTATGCACCAACCAAATCTTTACATTTGTCTCATCGCATTTCTGGCCCAGAACGTTCACCAATAGCGATAAACGCATGCTACCCCAGGGAGGTCCCGTCTCTTGGACGCCTATTGCGCCTTACTCAAACCGGACCACGGACATACGACCCGTCACTAAAGGAAAAATGTTCGGTTTCCTGTACTGCTGCAATATGTACCTTATTCTCCGCGCTATCCGATGTCTTGAGAATAACTAGAAAAGACCGATAAGGAATAATGCCGCCATATATGGGATTGAACTGCCCTATCTTCAATTTCCAGTCCTCGATAGAATCTAAAAGCGTATCCGCGTCCATGTGGGTGATGAATTATTTTCCATCCTTCAACCCCTTTCTTACAGACTAAACATCGGAAGCTTCTCACTGCTCTATCGCTATTTTCATGGAATGTGCTCAGACGAACTCCATTCCTTAGTTTCATCGGTTCTAACCTTGAAGGCTAAGACCAGCCATACCACGCCCATTATAGTGAACCACCCTCATTCACTCCGTATTCCAGTGGTGAGATATAACTTCCACTCGAGCAGCTTTTTTCCACCAACCTCTACTCTGTGAAACCAAATCCCAAGTAAATGCTTTCCTGATCGCTACAATCTTACCCTGTAATCCTAGACTTCAATTGGCCACTAGGCTTTGTATAGAGTGAACATCATCGTAAAAAATAAAAGAAGAAATAATTAAATAGTAATTCAATAATCTACTTTTCTGCTTCTAAAGGCATTTTCAAGTCTTTTACGGACACAGGTTTACGGCCATATCAGGTTGAAACACCGGATCCCATACGGTCATCGAAGTTAAGCAAAATCAAGCCTGGTTAGTACATGAATATGCGACCGCATGGGAATACCAAGTGCTCTAATCTTGGATATGTTAGTGCTGATAATGGCTCAGAATTATTAATAGGAGAGCCGAGTTCCAATCGCATTTAGGTTCATTATATTCCCTTATGCGCAAGTACCCTTGGGAATGTTAACAATCTACATCACCCCTCAGCTATGGGTTAATTAGTAAGACTTGTATCACTAAATCATTATTATCACAAAAATGAAGAACCTTTACAATCTAAAAATATTTTCTGGTTCAGAAGCCGTAGGAAACGAGCATGGTTATATGACCGATCTTGAAAATTAAACACCAATCAACCAAATAGGCTGTTGTAACTAAAGTTGGTCTAAGGGATATGCACACTACGACAACCAACACTGGTCGGAAGCTATGAATTCGACAACAGAGGTGAGTTGTCCTCGCTCTAAGTAGGTTGGTGGCGAGTTGTCCGGGAGTTGAGTTGTCACGGAGATGAGTAGTCGGTGTTGAGTCGGCGGTGATGAAATGTCCCATCCCGCATACAACTAACGATAAAATTTTTATAAAACAAAAATTATATAAAAAAATACAACCACTGATAACTTTGACTGTGTTTGTTTTCCCTTTCTCCAAATAAATAAAACGGATAAATACATTGAAAAATAAATAAAAAATACATGTATTTGCAGAATACAAACCGTGGTAAGATACAAAATAAAGTTTACCCGCAAACCATTTTATTATGTTTATTCTTCACTAAACAACTGTACCGTAAAAAACATTTAGAAATAAACGAGAAACGTTACAAATGGTGCAAATATGATATTAAAAGTATCTGAAACATGTTGACACAAACCCATTACACGCGTAATATGCTTCCAACAAGGGTTAGGTACAATTTCTCAATCATCGACTAACAAATTGGAACGGAATCAGAGCGTTTATTGAGATGTGCTATATTGTTTTCTGTGTTCTGCAAGGTGTATCACAGAGGTCCTTGCCAAAATGAATTACCAGTAAGGGTAATTATAATTTTACCATTTTGAATTTTATAAAAATAAAGTCGATGAATTGCATAATTATTTTTAATCGAGTTCACCCCAAGCAAGGCAGTAAAACCGCTATCCCACATGGGGTTACTGGGTGTGGATGTATTAGAAATCTGAAACATTACTAAGGAGCGAGAATAAAAGAAAAGTAATCAGGAGGACAGTAGATAGCGATTGGCATTACATTTAAATTTTTGAAGAATAAAGTTGGTTAGAAATCAATTGGCCGTAAGGAAGTTCCAGAAGCGAGAAGTGTGAGAAAAGAAACCGTTAGCATAGAAATTACGGTTACAACTAAACTCTAAATTGATACAAGGCTGGATATTCCTGAACTGTTAATGGTTATATAATCATTATAATCATTTGATTTCGTGAACAAAGATTTGCAGTAGTTTGTCACGATTGTTACAGGTATTTTCCCATCTCGGTAGCAGGAGACATGACTCATATCTTTCAAAGTCTGCGTTAATAGTTTTAAAGCATATGACAGGATTCGCGTAAAAAAACAGTGACATTTGTCTCACCCAACGTTAATGTGCTGCAACACTTGAAAAAAATAGATTTTTATCCAGTGTCACTTTGCCTCTGTGAAAATTTGCTTTTCAGCTTTAGTTTTTGTAAATCAATATATTTCTTTAAAATCCTTGAGAGTAAAGTTGCTGAAAAATAGAATAAAATACGAAAATAACAACCAGAGCAGCAGGCACTGGAAAAGTAATTGCCACATCAGCTAAAAGCACTTTCAAAACAAAGCTGTTGGCTGTGAATATGTTTGAAACATTATCCAAGTGTTGTTCAATGCAAAACAGGGAGGATATTGGTGAAACTGGTACTTTAATCTGCTGATATGAAATACGAAACTAATGGGCTGAATAAAAAAGTAATCATGCTACGCGGAAATAAAGCGAATTAGCGGAAGTACCTTTCAGAGGGTGAACGTCTTATCACAGTAATTTGAAACGAAAAGATTGGCAGAAATAATGTTTTTTGTCCAGTTTTTTTTTGTAGTTTTATTAATTTGAGTATAAAGTAAAAGCAGGTTTATTGCAGTTTAACCTAATTTATGATTTAAATGAAGAACTTCGACATAGGGAGCTAAAGACGAAAGAAAAAAAGAAAGAAAGACTACAATAGAAAAAGAAATATGAAACTATTGAAAAGTCTAGCAATTTGATTTGGTCTTCGTTCATATTACAAGATAAGAATTATAATGAACAATACTAGTTTTATTTTAAGGGATACAATAATAAGATGTAGCAATATAGGATGATGCTCATTAAACGAGCAGGGATATTGAAGAATGGTCCTTTAATTGGACATGGCAGCACAAAACACACTTAGTGGTAACATTGTTAACTATATTATATCTTAAACCAGTCTTGACCAAAATGTATGGGCTGAGATCTGTGAATAATGATATTCCTATTACAACTGACAAGACGAACGAATTCAAACTCCATGAAAGAGGAATCGTTTTTTTTTCTATTTGTCAGTGCACCTCGGCGAGCGTTACAATTTGACAGTCTATCCCAAGGGTCAGTAACCTACGGCGCCTGTGCCACACGTGGCACGCCAAAAAAACTTCCAATGGCACGCCACTGTAAATGACATAACGAAATCCGAATCAATAACTACTACAACACAAAGAAGACAACTGTTTCAATTTTAATATATACTAAAGTATATATACTCTATGTTATTATATAAAATATATTGTAAAAAAAAAAGATATAGAAATAAAAATACATATGGTGTTGGCACACTGAATGATTTTTAAACCCGAAGTCGGCACATATTTAGCAAAAGGTTGTCGACCTCTGGTCTATTCTATTAAAAAATACTCACAGGACAGAGTGAAAGCAAGTGAGAGACAAAGGAAAACAACTAGAGTAAATAGATGCAGAGTTAACAAAAAGGCAAAATATATTAATTACAAAGTACATGCAATTGTTGAGAACTATTATCGGGTACGTCCTGAAGGGAACGGCATATAGAATAAGTAGCAGCCATTTTGTCTCGCTAAACGAATAAACTAGAATCTTACCTTCAACTGTTTTTGTTGTTCGTGATTTTGATCATGCCACCTTTTCTACATCAAGCTCCAATGATCCCCTAATAAGCCTCGTCTAAGCCCTTGATAAGTGTTGGCACAACGACAAATAATCTATTTATCTTCGTTAACTAAATTTTGGGGAATAAAAGGTTTTTAGTTTCTAACAATGCAAAAATAAATAGGAAAACGGAATGGTTGTTTAAATTAATCAATTAAAAGCTTAAAATGCTCAGTTGTTTATTAATAAACTAAATTTTCTAATTAAATGTAAATGTTTCGCAAATATATTTTGATTAAAGTAACATTACTTTATATTTTTAAACCCTTTTGTATCTGGTCTTAAGATTTTGACCAAGGGTGTATGACAAATAATCACCGTACACCTTTATATATCAACAATCAAACAAAATATATACAAATGGTATTCAGAAAAGGATTCTGAAGTAATTATATTTATAGATCACAATTTAAAGTATGGCTTTTTATCAATTCAGTGTAAGTGGGTAAAAGAGTTAATATTTGATGATTTGCTCAGAAAGAGGAGAAAGAAATCAGAGAATGGCGTATTTGGCGATTGTGAATAACACAGTCGACAGTGTTTTGTCAAAATCATCACCGTTCGAAATTGGTATTTTGTGGCGACTCGATATACTGGTAGTGACATTTTCACTTGTCGATTTGCATTTTACTTGTTTTTGAAATGACCGACAGCTCAAAAACTTTGCAATTTTAGAACCATTTGATTTGTTAATTATTCTATCTGAACGAACAAGTGATGTGTTTTCCTCTACATCTGTCGACATCCGGTCGGCTCAGGTGAAGCAAAGTTTCTTTTCGTCTACAAACCAGGTGCGAGCGTTATGACTGTTTTTTTTTTTTGACAGGGTCTCTGGTTCAATGTTAAACTGTCTCTTGCTTCTGGTCAACTGATATATATATATATATATATATATATATATATATATATATATGTGTGTGTGTGTGTGTGTGTGTGTGTGTGTGATGAATGTGTGTGTGCGTATATATATATATATATATATATATGTATGTGTGTGTGTGTGTGCATATATGTGTGTATATATGCATATATACAAAGGGTGACCTCCAAAAATGGGAATTTTTTAAGTCCGTATTGCCAGACATGAGCAAGTGGCAACACTGCGAGACAGTAACATTGAGCAAGTAAACATTTCGCCATTTAGAATTCAAGATGAAATTCACAGTATTCCAGCTGAGATGTTGCAGCAGTCAATGAGGAATCTCAATAGAAGATTTCAAGAATGCATTCATACAGGAGGACGCCATCTGTAATTTTTTAAAAATGAAAATTCCATCATTGTTTCTTAAATGGCATGTTTTAAGATTTCAATTACTTCCATCACTCTTGGTTTTATTGGATTGTTAAAAAGTTCCCGTTTTTTTGGTCACTCTGTATATATATATATATATATATATATATATATTATGTATATATGTATAACACTAGAAAATAAGACGCTGAAAGGATTGAAACCACAGTTGCATTCTTTTAGCGTCTTAGTTTTTAAGGATATAATTTACTCTATCAGTTTACTTTTGCATAGAGTACTATTTTTTATCTCGCTTATAATTTAATAATACATCCTTTTCATATATAATAATTTTTGATTTAATTATATATATATATCTATATATCTATATATCTATATATATATTAGTGAACATTGAAGTCAACCCAAGATCCGATAGTCTGTTTCATGCAATTCTGGTGTTGACTTGGATATACGGTTTTATTTTCATCTTCAGCGGACACTACGACAATGTAGTCTCTCGCAGAAGATTGTGTTTTCCCCTTCGTGGGAACGCTATGCGTTTCCTTGGGAAAACGAAAATGAACATTACACACACACACACACACACACACACACACACACACACACACACACACACACACGCGCGCGCGCGCGCCT